AATAGGTACAACCCACTGAATAATATGGGAAACCAGGAGTTCACAAATATGAATATATGAATAAATCAAATGCTTGATGAGGAACAGAATATATACATAGTTCCAAAATTCTTCTCTAAAAATATTTATTAGAAAGTGGCCAGGCATGGTGGCTCAGCCTGTAGCACTTTGGGAGGCCGAGGCAGATAGATCACTTAAGGTCAGGAGTTTGAGACCAGCCTGGCCAACATAGTGAAACCCCGTCTCTACTAAGAATACAAAAATTAGCCGGGTGTGGTGGCGAGTGCCTGTAATCTCAGCTACTCAGGAGGCTGAGGCAGGAGAATTGCTTGAACCTGGGAAGTGGAGGTTGCAGTGAGCCAAGATTACACCATTGCACTCCAGCCTGAGCGACAGAGTGAGACTCCATCTCAAAAAAAAAAGAAGTATTATTAAAACGTGAACAAAATAACTCTGCAGTGGAGAAGGCTTTGATTTGACCGGTGGGAGCCCATTCAAGCTGACTGCTGTGTCTTTGACATGTTCCAGTTATTCTCTGAACACACCCTGGCTTTGTGTCACAGCCAGATGGATGTTCTGGATACATCTTGTACTTTCCTTGTCCCAGTTCTGGTATTGGCTATTTCTTCAAGCACCATCTTAAGTGATCAAAGCAAACATGACCAGCAATGGAACAAATGACAATTTCGCGACACCTGATGCGACACAGAGAGTAGAACACGGCGTCACTTCCAAGAGAGTTCTTGCCAAAGATACGTGAGCTGGGCCGAATCATGGGAAAACACCAGACAAATGTAAACTGAAGGAAATTCTACACAGTGGAAGCCTGTGATCTTCAGAAGTGCTAAGGTCATAAACGCCTGGGAAAGACTGAGGAATTGTACCTGATTAAAGAAGACCAAGGAGATTTGTCAACTAAATGCAAAAAATGATGCTTTTTTTTTTGTTTGCGATAAAAGTCTTCTTTTTGTTTAATAAAAGACATTATTAGAACAACTGGCGTGGCGGTGCTGTAATCCCAGCTACTTGGCAGTCTGAGGCAGGAGAATCGCTTGAACCAGGGAGGCGAGGTTGCAGTGAGCCAAGATCGTGCCACTGCTCTCTAGCCTGGGTGACAGATCGAGACTCGGTCTCAAAACACTAATAATAAAAAAACAAATAAATAAAAATTCTGGCGGCAACCCAACTGTCCGTCAACAGATGAATTAGCAATTAGCAAGTTTGGTGTATACACATACTGGACTGCCACTCAGCCTTACGAAGGAAGGGATTCTGACACATGCCACAGCACTGATCAACGTCAATGTCATGATGCTGACTGAAATAAGCCTGTCACAAAAGGACTAATCCTGTGGGATTGCAGTCATATGACGTTCCTAGAATCAAATTCATAGAAAGTAGAATAGTCGGGGCCAGTGGCCAGAGGAGGAGATGGAGAGAGGGAGTGTTTAATGGGGATAGAGTTTTGGTTCTGCAAGATGGCAAGGGTTCAGGAGAACGGCTGCACAGCAGTGTAAGTGTACTTAACACTGCTCAACTGTGCACTTGGAAATGGTTAGGATGGTAAATTTTATGTTGATGCCGCAATAAAAATTATCCTTTGATCCAGTAATCTGGGGTAAAAAGTGAAATTTGATTTTGAGAAATTATCTGAGCTTAAGACAAAGCTTTGGCCGGGCATAGTGGCTTACACCTGTAATCCCAACACTTTTGAGGCTAAGGCAAGAGTGTTACTTGAAGCCAGGAGTTTGAGACCAACCTGGGAAACACAGTAAGACCCCACCTTACAACAAAATCCCAAAAGACAAAGCTTTATACATGAAAATGTTGCAGCATACTTTCTAAAAACAAAAATAGGAACACACATTCTACAAAAATATGAAGAACAATATCTTTTTTTTTTTTGAGATGAAGTCTCACTCTGTCGCCCAGGCTAGAGTGCAATAGCATGCTCTCAGCTCACCGCAACCTCTACCTCCTGGGTTCAAGCGATTCTCCTGCCTCAGCCTTCCAAGTATCTGGGATTACAGGTGTGTGCCACCACACCTGGCTAATTTTTGTATTTTTAAGTAGAGACGGGGTTTTACCATGTTGGTCAGGCTGGTCTCGAACCTCTGACCTCATGATCCGCCTCCCAAAGTGGTAGGATTACAGGCATAGCCACTGCACCTGGCTGAAGAACGGTATCTTTAACAATGAGCAAATGATGGTGGCCTCATTCCAATAAATTGCTTGCAACCATTAAAAAGTACTGTTCAGGGGCTGGGTGCATTGATTGACACCTGTAATCCCAGCACTTTGGGAAGCTCGAGGTGAGAGGATCGGTTGAGCTCAGGAACACCAGATCGGCCTGGGCTACAGAGTGAAATCCCTGTCTTTGCAAAAAAAATTTTTTTTAAATTAGCTGGGTGTGGTGACGCACCCCTGTAGTCCCAGCTACTCAGGAGACTGAGGTGGGAGGATCACTTGAGCCTGGGAGATCAAGACAACAGTGAGACCCTGTCTCAAAAACAAAACAAACAAACAAAACTACTGTTTGGACCTGGCTTTTGCTTCATGTGAAGCTGTATAAACTCCAGAGAAGTGACTGTGGACTTTATCTCTAGGAACAAGAATCTGCATCCTGCTCAGAAGACCCTGACCAGAACTAGAAGATGGAGCACTGTGGTAGGCTGGTCCCTCGGAGCAGGGAATTGGATTCCAAACCAGACGTAATCTCTCATTTGGAGGAGGGCAAGAAGCTAGGACGAGATGAAAGAAAGATTGAGGAGGGATGGGCCCTGTTGTCTTCATAAGGAGAGGTCAGGAAGTACCAAGACCCGTTAGAGATAACCTGGGAAGGACACCTGGAGGAAGTGGCACACTGTTTTTCTGCTCCAGTAGTCTGGGTTCTTAGTCACAAAGCACAGAAATCCAGGCTCGGTGACTGATTTACCAAAGACTTCTCTCCTTTAAGAATCCTGGAGGATGCGGTTCGTAGCTGTTTAGCCAGAAACCTCTCATGGCGCTGCTGCAAAACCCCTAAGAGGGTTACAGGTCCATGTCTGTTTGTGTCAATTGTCTGATTCCAAGCTGGGATGAGAATAGAGTCTGGGAGAGAGAGCCCTGGTCAGGTGCCTGCACCCCAGCTATGGGAGAGGTTGGGAAGCGAGGGCTCTGCCTCCCCGCAACACTGACAAGTTGGGTGATTTGTCATTTACGGGACGGTAGCTAATTTGGAAAAACAGTCTGGGTCAGTGGCTCATGCCTGTCATATCTACAGGCATAGATTTGGGAGGCTGAGGCGGGAGGATCGTTTGAGCCCTGGAGTTCGAGACCAGCCTCGGCAACATAGCAAAACTCTGTCTCTACAAAAAATTAGCCAGCCTTGCTGGTGTGTACTTGTGGTTCCAGCTGCTTGGGAGGCTGAGACAGGAAGATCGCTTAGCCCAGGAGTTCAAGATTGCAATGAGCATGATGGCACCACTGCATTCCAGTCTGGGTGACAGGGCAAGACCCCGTCTCAAAGGAAAAAGAGAAAAAGATTTCCCTTCTGGCAGTCCACCCTCATTTCCCCCATTATTAACTTGACTTCTTCCCCATTATTAGCTTTTATTTTATTTAAATGTGTGTATCTGCTCCCATCTAACCTAACGCAACTCTCTCTAGCCAAAACATTTGCAGTCTGCAATCCCCTCCCCAAAGAGGGTTGCACCAAAACCTCATATTATCGTGCCCACCTCCAAGTTCAGGATCTTTCGGTGATAGATATTCTCCAGTGAAAATGTCTTCAAACATAGGAAGAGGCTTTTTTTTTTTGGATGGAGTTTTGCTCTTGTTGCCCAGGCTGGAGTACAATGGCGGTGATCTTGGCTCACCGCCTCCTGGGTTCAAGTGATTCTCCTGCCTCAGCCTCCTGAGTAGCTGGGATTACAGGCATGGGCCACCACGCCCAGCTACTGTTTCATGTTTTTAGTAGAGATGGGGTTTCACCATGTTGGCCAGGCTGGTCTTGAACTCCTGACCTCAGGTGATCTGCCCACCTCAGCCTCCCAAAGTGCTGGGATTACACGTGTGAGCCACTGCACCCGGCTAGGAAGAGGCTTTAAATACTGGATATTCAAAAAATAATAGGAGCCCTAAAACCAGATGCAGTTTCCTACCTATCACCCAAGACCTCACTAGAGTCACTTTGGGTGCTCCCAACATTAGGTCGTAAAACAACACGGGTGACGTGAGCAGTGGTTAACTGATGATTCTAATGCTCTCTTGGAATTCATTTTTTCTCTGTTACAGTGTTTCCTGGTCTTTGTGGCAAAAATAGTATCGTATCATTAAAAGTATGTGATTGGCTGGGTTTGGTGGCTCACACCTGTAATCCCAGCACTTTGGGAGGCCGAGGTGGGCAGATCACCTGAGATCCGGAGTTTGAGACCAGCCTGGCCAACATGATAAAACCTTGCCTCTACTGAAAATACAAAAATTAGCTGGGCGTGGTGGCACGTGCCTGTCATCCCAGGTACTCGGGAAGCTGAGGCAGAACAATCACTTGAACCCAGGAGATGGAGTTTGCAATGAGCTGAGATTGCACCATTGCACTCCAGCCTGAGTGACAAGAGTGAGGCTCTGGCTCAAAAATAAACAAACAAACAAATAAACAAATAAATAAAGTATGTTACTTGAAAAAAGCATGCTGTTTGGAGAGACAGAGGGGCCCTTCAGTGAGGGGCTGCTGACTGACTGAATCACTAAGTAGATGAATACACGGATGTGCACACCTGAGCCTCCCTCAGGTACAGGACATGGTGGCATTCACACGACCGGGGTGGGACTGTGTCTCAGTGGGCACTCAGAAGACGGCCAGCAAATGGATTCTTATCGACCGCCCTGTCTTCGTCATCTGTCTCACCACTCTAGGCAGGCATTGAGTAATGAAATGACAAATTTAATTAGTGAATTCTGTTTTGTGGGGAGAGGACACTGAGGTTTTAAGGAAGTTGCCAGTTTCTCTGAGACCAGGATCATTTCGTGAGCATTTATTAATCAGAGGGACATAAGCAGGCTCCGCTGAGTGGAGTAATTGCCAACAAACCCTTTTGGGAAGCCTCTGCCAGGAATCTGCATCTCCAGGGCATCATTTGAGTCCTGCCTTTTCAAAGTACTTGTGACAGGCAGACGTGATTGCAGCCACGAACACGATGAACTCGCTGAAGTCCACCTGGGCATCTCCGTTGGCATCCAGGTCCCTGAGCAGTTTATCCACAGCATCCTTGTCCCTTCCGCTCTAGAGGAGAGAGAGGCCCAAGGTCAGCGGTGACGGCGTCTGTGCAGGGCCTCAGCCTCCACCAAGCACCGCTGCTGGGCAGGAGGAGGGCACCAGCATCTGTGCCACCTTTGCCGTCATGCAGGCTCAGGGCCAGGGCCAGCTGTGCATACCAGACACATGGCATTCCTGCTCTTGAGCTATCTGGCATGACAGGAACTATCCTGTAATGCTTTTAGACCAAATTTGAATTGTGTTGTGCTGTGCGGGAGGGAGTTTTATTTTGAATATTTGCAGGGTTTTGTCTTTGGATTTATAACGTGCTTTACAATGATGGTTGTTCTCAGGAAATGTGTCCACTCTCTGCTCTATTTTTTGTGCACTGCTAACTCCATGGGCATCCCATCTCGTGCAGGCACTGAACTAGCTGCTTACACAAACATGAACTCCTCACAACCTCCAGGCAAGGCAGAGACATTACCCTGTTATAGATGAAGATGGTAAGGCCCAGAGGGCCCAAGGGACCTGCCCCGAGGTCACACAGGGAGACAGGGAAAGCCGGGGTTGAGCCCCACATGTGGAGCGAGCACAGAGGCCCTTTATTCCTCTCTGCTTGGGCGCCCTGGCTTGGGGTCCCAGGCTCTCAGGTCTTCTTTGAGAAGGCCAGGCCGGCAGGTCTCTCTGAGAGCCCACCCATTTGATGGCAAAGCGTCCTCACTGTGGGAACAAGTGGGACCAGGATGCGGATCTGAACAGCAGCAGCAGGGGGTGCTGACAACCCAGCTCTGGGCCAGAGAGCTGTGTGTCCAGGTGGAAAAACACAATTAAAATCGGCAGAAACAGATCGTCTGAGCAAGACACAGCTGTGTACGTGGAGACCTTCACAACAGCATGGTTTGTAATAGCAAAAGCAAGGCAGGAAGTACAGATTCAGTAGCAAACAAATAGTGGTCTGGCCACGTCGCAATACCCCGCGGCCATTTCAAGTGATGTTTGCCAAGGCTGTAGCCAGAGAGTCACCTCGTCCGACTGTGCCGGGCGCTGGGCAGGGCCTGGAGCAGATAGAGCCACAAGGCCGGCCCAGCCCTACCCGCAGGCAGACATTGTTCTCTGACTCCAGCTTTGCTGGGCTTCAGCAAAGGGCTGAGATGAGCACCAGGGCCTCCCCCAGGTAATTGTAATGTAACACACGTTTGAGGATCCCAGCTTAGACATTGCTTCTCCAAATGTGTTCCCAGGACACCTGCACCTGCCCCTCCCCACACCCCAGTGTCTTGAATCAAAGTCCTGGGTTCAGTTCTAAAACTTCGATCATTTTCAGAGCACCCTGAGCCCCGAGCCGGAGTCCCCAGCCTGGGGCTGGGGTGTTCAATGACCATCAGAGTTTGAGAAGGGATGTTGTAAGTTAAGTTCAAAAAGAAATTAAATTGCATCTAAATCCCACTCACATGGGGAAAGGCTGAAAGGGAGGGAAGCGTCTGTGATCCAGGAGGGATTTCTTCCCTCCGTACTTACCTATTTTTACATTTTCTACCACAAACAGAACTTTATTTTTAAAAGATATCTTTACAGCATTTACATTTAGAAAATGCTAGGCCAGGCATCGGGGCTCATGCCTATAATCACAGCACTTTGAGATGCAAAGGCGGACGGATTGCTTGAGCCCAGGAGTTTGAGACCAGCCTGGGCAACATGATGAGATCTTGTCTCTAGAAAAAAATACAAAAATTAACCAGGCATGGTGACATGCACCTGTAGTCCCAGCTGCTCGGGAGGCTGAGGTGGGAGGATCACCTGAGGCCAGGAGGGTCAAGTCTGCAGCACGCCGTGATCCTGCCAGTGCACTGCAGCCTGGGTGACAGAGTGATACCTCATCTCAAAAAAACATCCAGTGCTCTGAAGCGCTTTGTGTCTTTGAAGCTCTCCTTTTTGATGATCAGCATGCATGTGGGTCGGCCTCTGAGAGGGCAGATAGGCAGAGCCTGCTGGGGCCCGAAGGAGAGGGAAAGGAAGGAAGACAGTGGGGGAGTGAGAAAGAAGTAGAGGATGGAGGTCAAAGAGAAGAGGGAGAGACGGAGAGGGGAGGGCCTCTGTTTGGCCTGGTTGGAGGCTGCCCCAGGCGTCGAAGGAAGCTGGTCCCAGCCTCCCTGAGGGGCCTTCTGTGAGGCTCAGGCCAGTGGCTCCTCCCTGGCAGGGAGCCCAAGGGAGGCCCCCAGCTCTGTGCAGACAGGTGCCAGGATGGAGCCTCCTCCTGTCCTTCGTGCCGCTCCCACTAATACCAGGCAACAAGGGGCCTGGGAATGGGAACAGGGAAGGCGGGCAAGTGGGAGGTGGGGCTGGGGCGTTTATGGCCAGCAGCCTCGGAGGACTCGGCCTCGGGGACAGTCCTGGATTGCATTCCTTCCCCACCCCCACCACAGGTTTGAGTCCTACTCTCCCACCAGGGCTGTCACTAATCCACTAAGGTCAACTCCATCTTTCAAGGATGAAGCTGACCACACCCTCTCCTTGCTCAGATGCTCCAGTGTCCCCCGCCTTGATGCCAAGGTGGGTTGGTTCCTTGGCTGGGCATCAAGGGTCCTTCAGGATCTGCCCCCCTTGCCGTTGACCCCACTGCAGCTGTCTGCCCTCTGCCTGCAATGCCTTCCCCTTCCCCCCAGCCCCTCCTGAGTCCCCAGCTGCCCGCCTGGGCTTACCTGCAGGAAGCCCGGGAGCTCCTTCTCCATCAGCGCCTTGAGCTCCACCTTGGTCAGGGTCTGCGTGCTGCCCTCGCTGCTCGAATAGCGGGAAAATACGTCTATGATCATGCCCATGGCTGTCTCCAGTTCCGTCATGGTGCCGGGTTCAGACCCACCTTCCTCCCGGGGGCTGGCAGGGCTGAGAAATGTCCCCCTGGCGGCCTCTTGGTGCTTTATAAGGCGGCCTCATATTGACACAGAGGGTGGGACAGCGGGGCTGGAACATTCAGGCAGTCCTGCCCCTCTGCATGCGTGTGCTCGGTTCTGATGAAATGCATCGCTGTGTTGCCCTTTCTGGAACCTTTCCCCCAGCCATGGCCCAGGGTGTGGGCCGCCTCTGGCATTTTACAGTGCTCCCGTGTCTTGGGGCCATCAGTGAGTCACAGTGGCCCTCCCTGGGTAAGTGGGCACAGGGTGAATGTGTGTGGAGTGAGTGGTGACCCTGTGTCCCTGTGTGTTGGTATCAGAGGCTGCTGGCACTCAGCCTGCAGACGGGAGGAGATGTCTGAGTGAATTCCTGCTGGGCATGTGTGTGAACACATTTCTGCTCCCGCCGCCCTTTCTCGGAACACCCTGTGTCCTTCAGCGGTGCAGCTTCCCCCTCAGTCTCACTCGCTCCTCCCCTGTGGAGCCGAACAGAAAGCTCCCCTTCATCCTCTGGGAGCTGGCTGAAAATCAGTGGGCAGAAGGCAGATTCAGAGAAAAGCACCAGAGACGTATCTGATCGTAGCTGATGTGGCACGGCAGCCTTCAGGATGAAGACCCAGGGATCTGGGGGAAACTGTCCATGGTTACGAACATAAACACAGCATGGAAATATGATCGCACAGGAAAGTCAGGTGGACACGCACAGACCAGGAGGAGAGCCCGGCCCGGCCTGTCGGGACAGATTCCTCTGCGCCTCTGAGCAGCTTTCTTTCCTTCTAGGTGTGGCCAGGACCCTCTCTGGAATTGAGGTCTTGTGACCTGCAGTCAGATAAAGCAGCCCAGAGTGTTTCTTTGTGGTTCGTTTCTGTGCAGAAAGGGAAGGGGGTGGAGAACTGGAGTTGTAGTTCTGGGTTTTATGGCTGGGTTTGGGGACAAGGGGTTCTGATTGTGACCCATCTTGGGGAAGCCTCTCAGGGGAGGAGGGGCTGGAGAAAGTTTTGCTTCTGAGGCATCCACGTTGGGGTGCTGTTTTTGAGCCTCAGCACTTACCAAACCAGAGCAGCCACAGGGCTTAGACGCACAAAGGCTCCCGTGACCTCTCTCAGGTCTCAGGCTCGTTGGAATCCCTCCTTATCTCTATAGCAAAGGCACTCAGAGGGTCTGTGCCTCTGGGAAGCTGAGAGAGCCCTGGAGAGCATGGAGGTGGGGGCCTGTGTTCACATCCTGCCCCAGTCAAAGCAGACCCACGCTCACAGGCTCTCTCTCGGTAGTGATCTTCCAGAACGTCAGCCTCCAGCAAGTGCCTAACCTCTCCCGACACAGCCTCCACCAGCTCATGGGCTGCACTGGGAGAGCCCCCGCCGGCTGTGGCTCAACACAGATGGGAGCCACCGGTCTTACAAGAGCTGGCTTTCTCAGGACACATTGCCTCTGTCCAGGTGTCCTGAAGTGGAGGCTCAGCCTGGCCACACTGGTAACCCTTTGGGAGCAGGGACAGATCTGTTCTGCTCACGCCTGAGCTGGGCAGTTCCCTCTTGGGATAAGGTTGCACAGGACAGACCATCGTTCTACCCACTCCGCCAGAGGAGTGGGGAAGAGAAGGAGGCTCCCTGCCTCAGAGGTAGTGCTCCTCAGGTGGGGCATACACTGTGTTTTATAAATATATATATATATATTTGAAATGAAGTCTTGCTCTGTTGCCCAGGCTGGAGTGCAGTGGCATGACCTTGGCTCATTGCAACTTCTGCCTCCCAGGTTCAAGCAATTCTCCGGCCTCAGCCTTACAAGACCTCAATTCCAGAGAGGGTCCTGGCCACACCTAGGTACAGGCGTGTGCCACCGTACCAGGCTACTTTTTTTTTTTTTTTTTAGTAGAAATGGGGTTTCACCATGTTGGCCAGGCTGGTCTCAAACTCTTGAGCTCAAGTGATCTGCCCACCTCAGCCTCCCAAAGTGCTGGGATCACAGGCATGAGCCACTGCGCCCAACCTCATGTATTTATTTTTAGAGACAGCGTCTTGCTTTGTCACCCAGGCTGGAGTGCAGTGGCTTAATCACCGCTCACTGCAGCCTCCAACTCCTGGGCTCAAGTGATCCTCCCACCTCAGCCTCTCCAGTAGCTGGGACTACAGGGACGCTCCACCACGCCCGGCCATTCACTTTAATCTGTCACCACTGTGGGAGGAAGGATCAGGACATCAGGTGGAAACTGCTTGCGCCCCCTGCCCCCCCACCAGTTCAGGTCGCTGGAGTGGCATCAAACCACCCAGGCTGCCCCTGCTGGAGTAACTCACTGGGTAACTCTGAGGACAAGCCCCCTGGAGACACTTCTCAAGCACGGGGCCGCATTTTCCAAAGAAGAGTTCTACTCAGACCTCTGAGTCAGAGGACTGGTTAAAGAAAATTATTCTGACTTTATTCAGGAATGTTGCCGTAGGGGTCGTGACTATCACCTTGGGGGAGTCGCTCTTGAGGCGGCTGGAGGGCTCTGTGTGCCCTGGGAGGAAGGCAGCAGGGCTGGCGCACACAGGTGCTCTCACACCCACGTTTCCCACCTCTGCTAAAAAAGAACGCTTTCAGAACATTTAGTTATGAACACATGCTTTTTCAGAGTGATGATTTTAAATGTGGTACAGAAGTCAAAGTGGGCTCACACTCAGAGGCCTCTGTCTCCACAAAGATCTTAGCAGAGATTACAATCCAAGCAGTTGGCTCACATTGCTAGAGGCACACACAAGAGCACCTGGGCCAGGACCTCTGGGAGCCTGACATTTGTCAGCTGCGGGTGCCGTGTCGGGGAGGGACTACTCCCCAGTCATCACTCTATTCAAAATTTAATGAAATGGCATTTATCTAGAATGCTGGTTTCTTCCCAAAAGGAAACTGTGACTTGTATCATGCAAAAAAACCTTTCTGTCCCTGACCAGTTTGGGGTCTTTTTTCTTCCCACCTCTCAGACGTGGGCGCCCTGGGGTCTTCTTTACAGCAGGGGGTCCTGGGGTGACACGAAGCATTGGCAAGCCAGGAGGGCTGGGAGCTCAGCCTCTGGGCAGATTCTGTCATTCTGTGGTGCCTGCAGCAGCGTGGGAGCTGGGAGGGTGGCTCCTGCTGCCCCCAGGATGGCCTTTAGAACAGGGCGGATTTAGGAAAGGAAAGTTATTGTGCCCTCAGCCAAAACGCCCTCAGCTTAAGCTCCCCTGCAAACATCTAACAACTAGTGTTCCCACACAGAGCGGGAGCGGAGAAAGCAGGGGTTGGCCTCCCCTGGGCTGTGTGCCTGAGGAGGGTCCTGCCTTCCCCCACGAGCTCCCAGTTGATCGCCTGGCACTGTCAGTCAGGCTGGCCCAGGCATCCGGGCACTGGACTCCTCCCATGCTTAGCGTTAAGAGGCCAGATAAGGCTGGGCACAGTGGCTCACACCTGTAATCCCAGTACTTTTGGAGGCCGAGGCAGGCAGGTCACTTGAGGTCAGGAGTTCGAGACCACTCTGGCCAACAGGCAAACCCCTGTCTCTACTAAAAGTGCAAAATTTAGCCAGGAATGGTGGCACATGACTGTAATCCCAGCTACTGGGGAGACTGAGGCAGGAGGATCGCTTGAGCCTGGGAGGTGGAGGTTGCAGTGAGCCGAGATCATATCACTGCACTCCAGCCTGGGGGACAGTGAGACTCTGTCTCAAAGAAAGAAAGAAATAAAAAGAGGCCAAATGAAGAGCGAGCTCAAACCACAAGCTTCTACATGTTAACCAGGGTACAGAGCAACTGCTGACAGGAAGGGGCCCAGCTGTCAATCCCCGGGAGGGGCAGGATGTGGCCCTGTTTTGACAAGGCCTTGCTCTCACCAGGGGGATGGGCAGGCAGGTTTCAGGTGGGGGTCAGGAGGTTTCAGGAAAACACAAGTTACACGGTGGGGCAGGTAAGGCTCAGCCTGCCCAGCCTGTCCTGAGTGTCGTGGAAACAGCTCGGGAATTGACTCGTCTGTCCTCTGGAATCTGGACCAGATGAGGCCTTCTCCAGACGTCTGTGTTCAGCGGATGCCACAAAAGGCCCCTCGAGTTTGGCCCCAGGTCTAGCACTGGCCCAAGCAGGTGGGACTGAGCCTCCCAGTCCCTTCGCTGGGCTGGGGCATGCATGATGAGTGAGGCTGGGACCCTGGTGTCGGAGTCACCAGTCACAGAGGGCGCCTTGTGTTTGGAGGAGGGTGGGGAGGGAGAGGAGACTGGGGAAGGGAGAAGCAGAGAGGCCAGGACGGGAGCGGGGCCTGTGCTGGGGGGTCGGAGGGACCCAGGCCTAGGAAGGGCACTTGGAGAGTGCAGTGGGGTGGGGTGGGAGGTGGGCTTGGAGGAGCTGGAGCCTTGGGAGGTGGGACAGTGAAGAACATGGCACAAAGAACCGCCCTCCAGGGAATGAAGAAGTTAGAACGGGCAGTGGGGGTCCAGGGTGGAGATGGGCTGGAGCGGGGAGGGCACCACCAGAGAAGGTCCCCAGGCCGGCCTCATGGGGGCTTGATCCTGTAGTTCTGGGCCTCGCAGTGCCAGCCACACATTTGAGCTCTGGGGTGATTTTAAGAACTAGTTTTTGCTGGGCAGCACCCGGGCAGAGCTGCCCCTTTCAGTGCCTCCCAGGTGATCCTGTTGTGCCAGGTCAATGGTCTGGAGGGTTCTCAGCTGCAAGATACACTGTCAGGTTTGCCCTTTTGAGGCCCACATGTCCGCTGGCGTGAGAGGTGGATGTGCACGGTGAGGCAGTGAGGGGGCTGCAGAGTGAGGAGCCCCAGCCATGTGCGATTCAGGGTCCCTGCCGCAGCCGCCTGGGGACACTGGGAGCTGGTGGAGGCCTCAGCAGGAGCAGGAAACTGAAGGAGGACGAGGAGCCTCACTCAGCACCTGACGCGACCTCCACCCTTTGCAGAAGGGAAACTGAGGCTCAGAGCGAGGAGCTTGGTCGGCAAGCCCAGGCCCCTTCACCCTGCCCGCGTTTCCTGCATTGCACAAACACTTCCCGGACCAAACCGGTTTGATCCTTGATAATGTCACAGACAAATATT